GCGATCCGGTTCCTCCTGCTCGGGGCCTTGCTGGTGCAGTACCGCGGGGCCGCCGCCGCTGGGCGGGCGGCTCCCCAGGGCAGCGAGGAGGCGTTCCCCTCATCGGGGGGAGGGGGGGGGGAGGCCAGGTGGGACGTCAAGCAGTGGCGAAGCGTCCTAGCCCGTCTATAGGCCTACCACAGGATGTTCTAAGAACCTTTTGTGGTCGGAACGAAATGTTCTCAGAGCATTTCTGGCTTAGTACATCGGGCTCACGTTCTAAGAACATCGTTTTGGTTCTGAGAACATTTTTGGGTTCTAGAACATACCGTGGTAGGCCTATAGGACTGCAGGGACGGCCGATCCCTGCTTAATGGATGGGGCCGCCTGGTCGAGGCCGACCAGGCGGCCCTCAGAACTCGTCCTGGAGGGCCTTCGCGGGGAAGGCCTGCACGATGGTCTGAGCAGCTTCGACTTTACCGTGGCGACTTCACCGTGATCGACGGGCTCGAGCTATCCGGGGTTTGGGCGATTTCGTGGGCCGTTGTCGCTGTGACGTTTTTTGCAGCAAAGGCATAACGAAGGAAAACGAAAACACCAGGAAAACGAACAACACTGCTCAGCTCGAGCCCTGCTCGAGGATAGAGCCGTTCCAGAGCGTTGTAGAACGCTCTCAGAGCGTGCTGGAACGCTTTGAGAAGGGTGCGGCGCCCGAAACGTCCTCCGCATCCGCCAGATCTTCAATATTCTCCATTTATCCTCACCCGATCGGTCCTCGGCCTGGTTTCGTCTTGCCCGTTCAGGGCCTCTGGGCATCTCACTTCCGCCCTGCCCTGCGTAGTCCCTGCTGCTGTGGCTGCAGTTCGGTTGGTGCTTCTTTCTCGTCTTGTCTGGGCACCACGGCCCCGCGATTAGGGGCGATCTCACGTGAGGCCCAGAGGCGCTCAAAAGCATCGAGCGTCGATGCTCGACGATCTTTGGCATCGAGCGTCGATGCTCGACGATCTTTGGCGGACAGCGAATCCGCTCGAAGTCTGCGCCCTGGGGCCTTCCCATAGGTCCTCTCACGCCCAAGCAGAAACGTAGACGTCATATAGGTAACAGAGCCTTCCGTGCTGCATGTGGGTTGTTCTGGGTGTTTTAACAGGCCCGTTGGCCAGCGATGTTGAAACATGTTGTCAGTTCTCGGATGCGGCATGCATCCGAGCTCCTGTCTTTGATCCTTGGGTGGGATGGATACGTGGTCGCCCTCGGCAAGTGTTGGTATTTAGCTCGGTGGCGGAGACGAACTAACTTGTTATGTTCCGATCTCGCTCCTCAGGACATTGCAGACTTTTCTGTGCTCTGGCGCGGCGCTCAAGGGGGCTGCCCGTTCAGGGCAAACAGCATTTTGACTAGCGATGTGAGGTCTTTGCAGCAGTCAAGTTGATTGCTGTCGCTGTCGCCTGCCCCAAGTAGGCTAGCACACTTTTGAGAGAGACAACTGTCGTGTTGGGAGAAGTGGTTGGGAGGATGAAAAGTTTTGATCAATAGCATTCGAATGCAAAGAACGATACCTTCGGCAACCTGCGTCTAGCGAAAGGGGACACATGCTGTCGCCGCAGCGCATGGGCCGCAAATCCAACACCACGCAAGTTTCCTTTGAAGCAGGTTTCACACTGCAGGCTAGTTCGTGGCCCTCCTGGGGCCAGCTTGGACCCATATTACTTGCCCACGAAGCAGATTGCACCCCACAGCCTAAATTTACTCGTGATTGTTCCTCGTGCTCATGCAATTGTTTGGAGGGTGCGGGGCCGCGTGAGGTTCGTATTGCGTTCCGTTCTTGGTAGGAAGATTTTGTGAATTTTGTATTGCGTCCCGTTCTTCCTGGGTTGTGCCACGATTGCTGCATGAGTCGTCGGCACCGGCGTTGCAGCATCTTTGCCGATCTGGTCAAGCCCGCGACGCGCAGAGCAGGGTTCTGAGAGACGCGTGCGCGCGATGTGTGGGAACCTCGCTTCCATCGAGATGAGAGCGAAGAGTGCACAATTAAGTTCAAGGAACAGTACCAGCACAATCCGCAGGCTATTCAAGCTCCAGGGGGGTTAAACTATGCGAGACCAGTGGCGGTGTGTATGTCTGTGAAATCAGCACCGTAAGCACACGCGATAATATGGATGATATGGTCATTGATCCATCCTCTGGTAATTGTCTTTTGATCCATGGTCCAAAGTATGGTCGCCCCTTCTAGGTCATACTCTGCCGCCCGTCTGGAAGGAATCTTCATTGATGTCACCATCAGTAAGACAACTGTGCGAACGTCCCTCCAGGAATGATGCTTTAGCACCGTTCCGTCAATACGGATTGTGGTATTAAGGGTTCTTTTAGTCAGGATATGTTTATGAGGGTAGTTTAGTCAGGATTATTTTATAATTCGCCCGAAGGGAGGATTCTTGCCGACTGGTTCGTGCGTATAGATTGTCCACTAACGTTTCTTCAGTACGGTTTTTGCCGTTCAAGTTTCCCGAGCAAGGATTCGTTACGGAGGGTTCTGCATTGAGGGCTTTGTATCAACGACTCCATCGCGACGGTTCTTGATCAACGGTTCCTTTAGTTCAAGGTGCATTGGCAAGGATTTTTTGACCGACGTTCATTCAGTTGAGGGTTTTCATCACTGTTCCATTAGAAACTTCTCTACCAGCTCCAGCGTTTGGACTTTTTGTTAAGAACTTGTCTACCAGCTCCAGCGTAAGGATTCGATGAATGCTTCCAGGGGAAGGATTCTTATCACGGCTCTTTAGGACACATTATTCCCCATAGTTTTAAGTGAGGATTTGAGGTGCACGGTCACATGCTAAGGATTCTCTATTCAGGGTTCATTAGTAAGAATTACTTACACATGTCTTTTAGTACGGATTATTTACCAGCGGTTCCTACCGTAAGGATTCTTCATTAAGGTTCACGTAGTAGGGATTCTTCCTTACGGTCCATTTCGTACGGAATTGGTGTTCATGTTCTTCTAGTAAGGTTTTTTTTCCGAGGGTCCCTTAGCAAGGATTCTTCACCGAGGACTTTTCATTCAGAGTTCCTTGGCAATGATTCTTTTGCAACGGTTCCTTAGCAAGGACTCTTCACTAACAGTTCTTTAATACGGATTATGTTCGAAGGTTCCTTGGGCGAAGTAGAAGCCGAATGTTCGTGGCGACGACATGGCATGCGAGTTTCCGGCGCACTCAGGCGCCTTGGCCTCGTCCACTGGATCGGGCTATCGAGTTGAGGCTGGTGCGATGCGATGCGGTGCTTCCCCCCTTTACCAGAGGGGGCATCAGAAACCCGGCGTACCACAGGAGCGACGGGGAAGCAGCAGAAAGCAGTCGTTCCCTTGTTGTTGTCGTCCTCGCCCGCGACCCGCTCGCGACCCACCCCGCGACCCACCCCACAACCCACCTGGCGACCCACCCTGCGACCCACCCGCGACCCACCCGCGACCTATCCGCGACCTACCAACAACCCATCGGCGACCCACCTTCATTGCTTTGACAAAAATTCGGCGCCAGCGGCGGGCTCGGTGTGCAATGGTTTTGTTGTTGTTGCTGCTGCTGTCTCTGTTACTGTTTTTGTTGCTACTGCTGTTGCTGTTGTTGTTGCTGTTGTCGTTGTTGCTGCTGTTGTTGTTTGCGGAGGGTTTTTGTTTTCAGAGCTTCGCAGACTGCCGACGACCCCGCCGTCCTTTCTCTCTCATCCGTAGTTGCGGGGTGCTGCGTTTATTGGGCGGGCGCTTCCCATTGCACTGAGTGTCGTCGCTTACACGATAGAGTCATAGAGGAATCGTATTGTCCAGCTGCCTGTGGCCAGCCCAGCACTCTGGGTGGCGATGGTTCGAGGTGCGCGGGACGCCATCACGTATGACACCTTGTGTCTCAAAGTTTTTGGAGAGCCGCGATGCGGATAATTAGAGTGATGATGATGTTGATGATGATGATGATGATGAGGAGGAGGAGGAGGAGGAGGCGGCGGCGGCGGAGGAGCAGGAGGCGGATGAAGAGAAGGAGGAAGAGCGCGCCCTTCACTTGTGACACCTTTCGCCTACACATCTTGATGAACTCTCATGGAGCTCATCTCGACAATATCGGGGCTGCCTTGGGATCTTGTGGGGTAGTCTTGAGGTCCCTTGGGGCCGCCGTGAGGCGCTCTTGGGCGTTCCTGGGGTCCACCCTTTGTGCACTCACGGGACTCTCTTGGGCCGTCTCGGTGCCCTCTTGGTCGTAGTCTTGGGGCCGCATTGGTGCCGTCTAGTGCTGCCGAAGGGCCTTCAAAGCCCACTGTGGGTCTCCCCGGAGGCCCTCTTGGCCCGCCTTCGAGACCTCTTGGGCCAGCCATCGTGAGGTCATCTTGTCATCTTGAGTCGTCTGCGGGCTCTCTTGGGGGCCTTTTGGGCCGTCTCGGGGCCATGGTTTCTTGCGGCTGCCTTGAGCTGACGGAAGCCCGATAAGGCAAGATTCCTAACATCGATCACAAGCCGTGTGAAACGGCCTCTTCAGGCCTTGCTGGGAGCACCTTTTGAAAGTGGCCCTCCCGGGCCCTGTTGTAAGCATATTGGTTGGGCAGCAGTGATGTCACATTGGGCTGCCTTGGGGCCGTACGGGGCCGTCTTGGAGGGGTCTTGGACCGTCTTGGCGGCCCTCGTTGCCTGCCTTTGCCCTCTTTGGCAGCTCGGTGCGCGGGTCCACTGCTTTTGGTATAGGGGTCGTGTTGCGTCGTCAGCGCGGATTTGTGTGGTTTGTGTGCGAGATATCTTGCCCTCGGGAGGGGGGGAGGGGGGCAGGGATGCGTGCAGCACTCTGCGGTGAGATGGGGGGGGGCCCTGAGAAGAGTAGCGCAACCCTACCAGGCAGAGACCATGTTTTCGATCCACCCATGGGATAACGCATGTTACCCCCCCCCCCGTAGCGGTAACGCCCCAGTTACCGTTACCCCCCCCCACGCCCACCCCCCCTGGATAACGTGCGTTATCCCCCAGAAATCAAAAAATTGCCTCGCAGCCCCCTTGGAGATCGATCTACCACGCCTCAACATACCAGGGGGCACGGTGGCGGGTTGGTATTGGCGCACACGTCCTTGGTGGCAGTTCTCCGTCGCGTGGGTCGGGCACCCCTACCGAGCGTCTGTCTGTTCTCCAACCATGCATACCAGGGTCGTCACATCAGGAGGCCCCGTCACGGGACTTCCATGTTAAGCACATGCTTGCAATGCATTGTGCGCTTGCGCTCGACAGGACGGCAATGACGCGTCCACAGTCTTGCTCGAGAGGACCGCGAAGACTCCTCCTGCCAGGGATTGTGTACGCGCAGTATGCATGCAGGTGTGCACGGGCAGTGATTTGGACATATTTGCCCGCCCTATGAATTCCGACTCCTCACCCGAGTGATTTCAGAGTTGTTGCACGGTCCCGTGCGTCTGGCTCTGTTTCTTACACACCTTGTCCACAAGTTCCCTATCTATTGTTTTAAGTCGGGCCTGTCCCTCTACAGGAGGAATCTTCAAACATAGCCCCAAAAAAGTCAGGGGACGAATTTTCTAGTATTGGTCGAGCATTGTGGGGTATTGTTGTTGTATATTAATTTGTTTCGTCCAAAATCCCCCTGGGGCAGGCCCGACCTAAATCTTGTTCCTGAGGCCTGGGGGGGGGCCGGCGAGCCTGGATCCTGAGCCGGTGACTCGTGGTCTCGCTCTATATGGTCTCCGGTATGGTCTCGCGTGTATGGTCTCCCGTATGATCTCCCGCACGGCCTCCCGCGTGGCATCCCGTGTGGTCTCCCGCACGGTCTCTCTCGCACGGTCTCCCGCATTGCCTCCCGCATGGTCTCCCGTTTGATTTTTTCCGTACGCTCTCCCGGAGGGTCTCCCGAATGGTGTGCCGTGCTGTGCCCAACAGATGGCCCCGATCACGGTCTCTCGTAGGTCAGATGTCCCGCAGGGTCGTCTATCTGGCACCCCCTATGGTCTCGATTATGGCCGTTGGCGTGGTCTCCCAGGCTGTGCCGCTGCGCACGTTCGGCCAGACATTCAGCTCTTCTCGTGCGGCGGCGGGGGCCCAGTGCAGCGTTGTCCACGGAGGACCTGATGAAAGGGGCCCGTTCGGCGACGGGGCCCCAGTGCAGTGTTGCCAGGGTGCGTCCTTTTGCTTTTCTGCGGTGAAGGCCTATCCCACGCAGCATGGGCTTCGGACCAGGGGGGTTTGACTTCTGTCGAACACGTTTCTTCGGAGAAGTCTTGTGCGGAATCGCAATTTCGACTTCGGACCGACGGGTTTCGACATCAGGTCGAAATCGTTTCTGTTGGGGGACATCCCGAGCGAAAACCACACTTTGAATTTCGGGCTGCCGAACTTTACGATTTTAAATTGCATCCGAGTTGCCCGAGTCGAAGTGACGTTTCTGTTTGGGACTCCATAGCAAACATTTCGATCGAAGTCACAATGTTCGGGTTTGAAATCGGCATGGTGGTTCTGCTCAAGACTGCCTCCAAAGCAGAAGTCGAAACCCATTCGGTGCAAAGTCGAAATTGCGCTCACGCAGTCGTTCAACTCTCAATTCGAATTTTTTCGGGTTCGAAGTCGAAGTGGGGGCGTATTGCTGCTCGCGGGCACTGGCGCTCCATTGGAGCCGTCGTTCGGCATTGTCTTGGCAGTGCCACGAAATGGGTCGAAACTTCCGTAGCGGCGGTGTGCAGTCTCCTAGATATGTTCCCGTATCGTTGTTTTCAATGTTTTAATTGCACGATCTCCCGTTGAGTATCCCGTAGGGTCTCGCTTACGGTCTCTTTTGATGGTTTTTATGGTGGTCTCCTTTCCGGAATCTCTAAAGGGATCCCAGTGTTCTTCACACGCTGTGGTGCTCTATATAGTGCTATACTTGGTACTCTCCCTCTCTCTTTCTCTGTCTTTCTTTCTGTCGGATTATCAAGAGCTCTTGAGGGTAAGGGTATTATTCCGCCAAGGGTGCAATGATGCACGAAGAACAGTTGAGTTACCTGTTAGCTCCTGCCACATCTGCAATTGTGTGTTCGCATTCGTGTATTGTCATGCCAGATGTAGAGAAGTGTCCAGCTAGCGTGTTGGTTCCTCGTCACACTCGTGCGTCTCTTGTTGGTGCCGCCTGGGCACCATCGCATGTGAGGTTCGTGTTTGCGTTTAGCGTTGTCTTTTGCGGTTTAGATGGTCTCGCCAACGTGAGCAGCGATCTTGGGACAGGCGAGGGAGAGAGAGAGACCAAGGCATTTTGTCCGAGAGACGAGGGGGAGAGGGAGGGCGTATGAGGAAATAGTGGACGAGAACGAGTGCGTTGGCATTGATGGTGGTGTGCGATGCATGCGAGTAAGGGCAGATCGAGGGTGTGAAGGACACAAATTGAGCAGGCCTTCAGCACTGAACCCTTTCATTTCCTGCACGGAAGCCAGCGTCGGGCACAGTCAAAGTCCAACGACATATTATAGTATTTGACCAACGCCACCCTTGAGCCATTGACATGTGTGCCTGGGAGTCGCGATCGATTTTCTGTCGATGGGGAGGAGAGGAAGAATAGAAATGAGGATATCGGAGGAGGAGGAGGACAGCTTGAAGAGAGATCAGGGAGGAGCGCCGGAGAGGAGGAACCCGTCTCTTGGACCCAGCCAGACTCATCTGGCGCTTGATTCACCCGGCGTTGAATTCACCTGCATACCTCACTTGTTGGCTCACCCGGCGCCCGACTCACCCGGCGCTGAATTCACCCGGCACCGAATTCACCCGGCGTTTGACTCACCCCGCTAGACTCACCGGATGCCCAATTCATCCGGTGCCAATTTCACCATTCATGGTGCCAAGTTCACCCAGCCCCTAACTCATCCGGCGCCTAATTCACCCATCGGCGAGCTCACCCGACTCACCCGGCGCCTAATTCATTTCTGAGTCACCCGGCGCCTACCCGGCGCACCCCGCGCCTACTTTACCCCGCAACTAATTCACCCAGCTCCCAACCCACCCGGCGCCAAATTCACCCGGGGCATAAAGCACACGTCTTTTGCCTCACTTTGGTGCCGAACTCACCTCCTCCTCCTCGAGATCCTCCTCCTCCTCCTCCTCATCCTTCTCCTCCTCCTCCTCCTCCTCCTCCCGATTGTCCTCGTCGTCCTCCTCCCTCCTGGCAGTCCGCCTCCCTCCATCCTCCTCCTCCTCTTCCTTCTCCTCCTCCTCCTCCTCTTCTCTCTTTTCGTCCCCCCAATCCCCAAGATGACCCGCCGCCTCCCTCCTCCACCTCCTCCTCCTCCTCCTCCTCCACCTCCTCCTCCTCCTCCTCCTCCTCGAGCTCGTCCCCGTCCTCGCCCTCCCGCGTTGCTTGTAGCTCACTGCCGCCGCGGCGACGAGGCGCAGTGCTCGGACTGCCGCCTCCTGCTCCTCGTCCTCCTCGTCCTCCTCCTCGTCCTCCTCGTCCTCCTCGTCGTCCGCCGCGTCCTCCTCCCACTCGTCAACAAAGTCCGAACTCGCGTCGTGCACATGAGCGTGTTAATTACGGCGCACCCGGCGGCAACCGCACCCGACGTCACAGCCCTTCCAGCGCCTAAGGTACCTGGAATGTATGAGGCACTCGTTGCTTAACTCAGCCGGTGCCTAACTCACCGGGCGCCTATTTCACAGGGTGCCTAACTCACCCAGTTCCTAATTCACCTTGTGTTTATCAGAGGAGGAAAAGGTACCCATACCTCTACCATTTCCTCGTTTTCACCTTTTTGTGCCTCCTGGGAGACCGGGAGACCCTCGTCGCCACCGCTGGATTCGCCTCGAAATCTTGGTCAGAACGCACCCCGGGAGAGGTCCAGGGAGTAGCGGTATCGGTACCTTTTGGTTTTCCCAGTTTAACTCACCCGCGGTCCTAACTCAGCCGGCGCCGGTGCCTAACTCACCCGGTGCCCAACTCACCCGGCGCCGAACTCACCCCGTACCGAAAGTATATTCGGCCAGTGTCCCCCAGCAGCTAACTCACCTGGCGCCTAACTCACCCAGTGCTTTTCTCACCCCACGCCTAGCTCACCCGGCATGACCCACCCCACCCGTAATGCACCCGGCTGGATTCACCCAGACCTTAATTCACCCGGCATAGTTCACCCAGTCGCGGTTTGGCCAGACCGCGGGTCGGGTGAATCGGCGCGGGGGAGTCGCCATCGGATGAACCAGCCCGTCTCCAGAGTACGTGAGTATGTGCATAACCATATGACCGAGTCAATGGAGAAGGAGGGAGAAGGAAGAGGAGGAGGAGGAGGCGGAGGGAGGCGGAGGGATGACATGTGAGTGGGGAAGAAGGACGGAAGAGGGAGGAGGGAGGAGGTCAGGGGGGACCAAAAGGAGGAGGAGCAGGTGGAGGGCCATGCCAAACCACGAGTACATCAAACGCCACCTGCCGCCCCGAGTGTTCTCTCCTCGGAGGCCCCCTGCGGGCTCTCACCATGCTCACCGCGGGGAGCGCCCCCTTGGAAAGGAGAGCCCCCCGGGGACCTGCCATCATTCGAGCGGGCCTCCCCGCCCAGGAGAGGAACCGCCCGTTAAACCGTGAAAGTGTTTGCCGAGGTGTCGGAACGTAAGTTCTATTTCGGGAGCGAAAAAAGGACGCACACGTACATGATTCCACGCTGGTTTCGAGAGTACGCATTGCCCGAATGTTCGTATCACGCGGCCAGTGTCGCGGATCGAGGGGCCGTGTTCATGTACATAGCTTGGCGCGTACGTCTTTCGTGGGCACCCTTACTATGGAGCGGCGCAGAATAAAAGCGTCTTCTGCCTCGACGTTGGCGCGTAGCTCGCCCGCGCAAGGTTGCACGTGAGCGCCCTCGTCTCCCAAGCGGCGTGCCGCGCTGGCGCCCCGCGTACATCGCCGCGCAAGCTCGCTGCGACATCTCGCGTGCCACCCGTTTTTGATCTTCGCTCAGTTGAGTGTCAACGGGCTGGCCCATTTGGAACAGGAGACCACCTCCATCCGTGCAGTTGTTTTCTATTTCTGGAGTCCAGAGGCATACGATTCGAGGATGTCTCGAGCAAGCGAAGCGCCCCACGTACGGAACGATCCGTTCTCTCCCAGCAGGGTGGTCCTGGCGGTTTTCCATCTGGCTTGAGGTTGCGGGCCAGCTATTGAATTCTTACGTTGTTGCTGAAGGTCTGGGAACCGCGCCTCCCTCGCGGGGCCAGATTTGCCCTTGCTGCGCATGCCAGTTGCGCATGTGGTTGCGCATGGGAGTTGCGCATATCCAGTAGCAGCGGGGTATACGGAGGCAGAAGCCAAGTAAGCGGGCTGTCGTGTAGTAAGGCAGAGTGGTAGTAATAGAGTTGCCGGGCGGTGCAGTTGTGTAGCTAGAGCCGTCGCGTAGTAGATTATCAGAGCATGACCGCACGGGGGAATTGCAGAGCAGTGCGTTGCGTCGTGGAGGAGTAGCGAGTAAGAGTAGTATAATCGCAGGGGTGCAGCGTAGTATTCGCGGACGACATGTGTACACCGTACCGCGTTGGCGCTTCTCGAGGCGTCGTCGATCCTCGACCCAGGAATGGTACGGTGCACACTTTTCTGGCCCCCAGAGCCCTACAATCTATGCACCGTGCCGATGTGGAGCGGGGCCTAAACGGAGTCCAGACATGTTACGGTGCATGGGCGCCGTTCTCGTATAGTAGAGTAGGGTCGCTATCTTGTCCCATCTTCGAGAATTCATGCCCATGCTGCCGCCACCCAGGGGATTTGGGCCCGCCTTGGGGGCCGCGTCGAGGCCCGCAGCCCAGGGTCCAGATAGTTGCCCTGGCGAGGGCCTCGGCATCCCCCCGGCGTGATGCCCGCGTATTTCGACCACGCTGCAGCAGTGTTAGGGCCGTCAATGGGACGGCCTCCTCATCCCCCAGACGATTCCCACACTGTCTCCGAATCTCAGGGTTACACGTCGAGGCCATGTTGAGGCCATGGCGGGACCCTCGCGTCGATGGCCTCAACATCTCCCAGGCGCGATTCCCGCACAGTCCTGGAGAATTCGGTGCACATGTCGAGGCCACGTTGAAGCCGTCCCGGCGCGAGCCTTCATATTTCCCAGAAATGGATTCGGCATGTTCCTCGGGAATTCGGGGTACATGTTGAAGCCATATGTTGGCGTCACCCCAACGTACTAATACTATGTGCAAGTGGCCCCCCAAGGGGCGACGCGCGCACCGAGAAATCTCATAGTCTATGCGTCGTGGCGGGCGCTGTCTGGCCGCACCGCTCGGGAAACGATGTACTACAAGATGGGAATACTGTATGCACGGGTCGGACGCGCGCATCCAAGGAGGACATCTAGTATTGGTATGTCCCTGTGCGTCCCATGTTGTTCCACCCCTGAATTCTTGTGACCGCGTTGCCAGGAACACATCGGCCGGCATTGGCGCCTACGCCAAGGGGATGATGCTTCGCACGAACTCCATGGTTCACCCGGGCCAGAATTGGCAGAGAGAGAGAGAGAGCTGGGCAGTGCGGTTGCATCTCGGCTGCGCGTCGGAGAGGTGACTCCCACGGCAGGAAGAGGCCAGTCTGGGGCATGGACTTGCGGCTGGATTCGGTAATTCCAGAGGCATCGCCAGCGAGAGACAGAGAAAGAAAGAGAGAGAGAGAGAGAGAGAAAGAGAGAGCAAAAAGAGAGAGAGAGAGAGAGAGGGAGAGAGATAGGAAGAGAAAGAGAGCGAGAGGAGGTTGTGGGGTGAGGCCGACGTGAACGGAGTCTCCCAACCAGAAATTCGGTCGCGGGTTCGGTGCGTGTCGTACGTGACGTCCGCGTGGGCGAGGCGAAGCTGCGCGAGCCCGTGCTTCAGCTAGGCCTGGACCACGCCAAACCGAGCCGCCTACCCCCCCGCCAGGGGCGAGCCTGGGGTTGTCTCGCGGTTGTCCCGCGGTCAGCCTGCGGTGGTCCTGTGAGTGTCCCGTGCTTGTCCTGTCGTTGGTTTTTTTTCGCGGACGCCCCCGTGGATGGCCCCAGGGTTGTCCCGTGGTTGTTCGGTGGCTGTTCAGTGGTTGTCCCACGTTGGTCCCGTTTGCGTCCTGTGGTTGTCCAGGGGCTTTCCTGTGGTCGCCCCGCGGTTGTTCAGCGGTTGTCCCGCGTTCGTCACACGGTCGTCCAGAGGTTGCTTGGTGTCCGCTGGCTGTTCCGTGGGTGTCTCGGGGGTCTGCTGTAGTTGTCCCGTAGTTGTCCCGTGGTTGTCACGTGGTTGTCACATTGGTTGTCTCGTGGTTATGCTGTGATTGTTCTGGTGGTTGTCCCATTGTTGTCCCGTGGTCGCCCCGTCGATGATATATTGATACTCGTCATACCAAGAGGTCGACGTGCGTGTTTGTATATGGGTATGTGTGTATAAGAATATATGTATGTATGTAAATGTATATCTATACACATATATATATATATACACATATATGTCAGCGTGGGCCCCAACCAGCGAATTCTTGCAATCTATGCGGTGCAATGTAGGTGGTACAATCAATGTGATGCAATCTAGGTTGTGCAATCCATCTGGAGCAATCTATGTTGTCAGAATATAGCAAAGCCATGCTTTGCAACGAAGCGAAATGCAAAGCATTGCAACGCAATGCGAGCAAAATGCAAAGCCATGCAAAGCCTCCCAGACCAATGCAATGCAAGGCAACGCAGTGCAACGCAATGCAAAGCTAGGCAACACAGTGCAGAGCAACGCAGCGCAATGCGACGCAATCCAAAGCCCTGGGAAGCACTGCGGCGCCATGCAGAGCGATTCGACGCAATAGCTGCTGCGCAGTGCAAAGCAGCGTGCGCAGCGACACGGAGCCCAGGCAGCGCCACGCAGAGCAGCCCGACGCAGTGCGGCGCAGTGCGAAGCTCTGCGCGATGGCAGCGCGGCGGCGGACGGCCGCCGGCCGGCTCGGCGAGCGCCGCCGTGGCCCCATGCGGCGTCGGCTGCGAGAGGCGGCGACGGGCGGCCACGGGAGCCGGCGCTGGAGCGGCACCAGGGGCCCGGCAGCAGCGTTCAGGGGCAGCGACAGGGGGGGGGATGGGCACAGGGGGGGATGCCTGGGCACCCAATCGCACACTGATCGCCGATAGGGGCCAGACGGTCCCAACCTGCCCAGGGAGGTGCGGATGCACGATCGGAGGCCTGTTGCCGATCTATCGGCGATGTGTATCGTCGATTCCAGGTCGATGCATCCCCTCCTATGCCAGTCCCCCCCACTATCGTTGCTTCTCAAGCGTCGGCGGCGACGGGCGGCGACTGTCAGAGGAGAAGCAGGATCCCCCTTTAAGTTGAAGTCGGGCCTGTCCCTCTACAGGAGGAGGATTCGAAGATAGTCAGAAAACAGTCGGGGGACGATGTTTCTATTATTTTCGATGATTTTGGGGCATTGCTCTATGTTTAATTTTTCGTCCAAAATCCGCCTGTAGGAGGACACTCCCGACCGAACCCTACGTGCGACAGGCCTCGGAAGAAATTAGCGAGCACTCATGCCGCATTCATCTGTCGATGCCCCCCCCAACGATCAGTCAGTGTCGGTGGTGGGTCTGATGAGTTGCACCTCGATGTCCCCCGCGCGTGCCAACTTTGCGTTGGGGGCGGGGAGTGTTCAGTAATTGTGTCCCTCCAGGCCTCGGAAGGAATGAGCGAACACTCATGCCGCATTCATCTGTCGATGCCCCCCCCCCAACGATCCATGCTGGTGGTGGGCTGAGTTGGCTGCACTTCGACCGCGGTCCCCCCCGCGCGTGCCGACTCTTTGAGTTTTTGGAGGGGTGGGGGAGTGTCCACGAATTGTTTCCCTCTACGCCGGAGCAGTGTTTGGGGAGTGTACTGATGGCGAAATCAATGATTAGCGAGACCCATAGGTAGCGAGACCGATTGACATAGTTTGGTGGTGAGTCCGACAGCCCGCGGTTGTCGTGCGGTTGTCCCGTTGTTGTCCTGTGGTCGTCCCGGGGTTGTCCACCGGTTGGCCCGCCACTGTCCAGTGGTTGCCGCGCAGTCGCCCATGGTTATTCCGCCGTTGTTCTCTGAGTGTTGTGTTTTTGTCCCGTCCGTGTGTGAGTAGTGGGACCAGTGTAGAGATAGTGGTCGGTGCATGGATAGTCTCGATCGAGACATCGGTCGATGTTTTGGTAGTGGGGGTGAGATGGAGAATGGGGGATATAGATCTGTATCTTGATATTTATACGTATCGCTTGTTCGCCAGCGTGTACCCCAAGCAGGGAGATCTTCGAGAAGTCTACGTGGTGCAATCTGCGAAGTACATTCTATGTGGAGCAAAGTATGTGATGCTAGCTGGGCGGGGGCAATTTATGTTGTGCAGATGAAAGTTTGAAGTCTATGTTGTGCAGTGGCGCAATATATAGGTTGCAATATATGCGGCTGTATTGCAACATATGTGTTGCACGATGTGTACACATATATATATATATATATATATATATATATATAGATATAGACATATGCGTGTGCATGTGCGTGTAAAGTCTACATGTTGCGCAATACATGTTCTACAATCCATGTTGTGCAACCTACGTGGCGCAATACACATATATATATATATATGTATATATACAGATATACATATATCTGTGTGTGGTGCAATATTTGTGCTGTATTCTGTGGTGTGCAACCCATGTAGTGCAGTCAGTTTTATGTTATCTACGTGGTGCAATCTGTATACGTAGCAACCCGCAAATGCGGATGAGAGTGAGGGGGTGGTGGGGACATCGGCATTTTGCGAGACTCTGGAGTAGCCAGCCGCCGGCGCCGAAGGTCCACAAATTCTACATAGAGCCCGCCGCAGGCGCCGATTTTTTCGTTGAACCAATGTGGGTAGGTCGCGGGTGGGTCGCAAATGGGTCGCGGGTGGGTCGCGGGTGGGTCGTTGTTGGGGTCGCGGGTGGGTCGCGGTGGGTCGCGAGTGGGTCGCGGGGTGGGTCGCGGGTGGGTCGCGGGTGGGTCGCGCGTGGGTCGCGGGGTGGGTCGCGGATGGGTCGCGTGGTGTGTCGCGGGTGGATCGTGGGGTGGGTCGCGGGGGGGTCGCGGGGGGGTCGCGGGTGGGTCGCGGGGTGGGTGGCGGGGGGGTCGCGAGTTGGGTCGCGGGTGGGTTGCGCGGTGGGTCGCGGGGGTGGGTCGCGGGTTGGGTCGCGGGTTGGGTCGCGGGGTGGGTCGCGGGTGGGTCGCGGGTGGGACGACGAGGATAACAAATAAACAAACAACAACGCAACAAGCAGAATCCTAACCATGGATCTTTGTTTCAGCCACGCACCCAGGGACAATGGATGACCGTTCGCCCCTCTCACTCTGATATATATATATATATATATATATGTATATATAGACATGCATATTTCGCAGCGGGCGATGATAAAGTACCCCCCTTTCCCCCCTCTATTTGTATACCCGTTCAACAGGATTCCAGTATGGAGGAGAAGGGCGCGGAGGCCGAGCTTTCTAATTCACCAGGGAAGTTCCGAATCGAAGTTGCTATCATCTCATGTTGACTAGCCGAGCGTTAGTCTCGTCTTGTGCCGAACGCCTGCTGGCAAGTTGTATAGCCACGAACATCGAGATTCCTCGAGTCAGTCACCATCACCATAATCATCGTCATCATCATCATAACTGACCTTCCCCAGGAAAATCCTTTCTTATCCCCGGGTATTCTTGTCACCCGCAGTCGGTTATTTTTACGTAACACCCCACAGTTGCGGATAAGAGTGAGGGGGCGGCGAGGACGTCGTCAGTCTGCGAGGCTCTGAAGAAGCCCGCCGCAGGCGCCTAACTTTTTCAAATTATGCTTTCTTCGTTAAAGCAATGTGGGTGGATCGCGGGGTAGGTCGCGGGTGGGTCGCGGATGGGCCGCGGGTTGGGTCGCGGATGGGTCGCGGGTGGGTCGCGTATGGGTCGCGGGTGGGTCGCGGGTGGGTCGCGGGGTGGGTCGCGGGTGGGTCGCGGGTGGGTCGGGTCGCGGGTGAGTCGCGGGGTGGGTCGCGGGGTGGGTCGCGGGGTGGTCGCGGGTGGGTCGCGGGTGGGTCGCGGGTGAGTCGCGGGGTGGGTCGCGGGGTGGGTCGCGGATGGGTCACGGGCGGGTAACGGGCGGGGTCGCGGGTTGGTCGCGGGTGGGTCGCGGGTTGGGTCGTGGGGTGGGTCGCGGGGTGTGTCGTGGGGTGGGTCGCGGGTGGGTCGCGGGCGGGTCGGGGGGGGGGACGACGACAACAACAACAACAACAACAAGCATAATCGCCCCCGCGGATCCCCACTTCAGCCACGCACCAGGGAACAAAGAATGAGCGTTCGGCCCCTTCAGTCTGACTTATATATTTACATGTATGTGTATACATATATATATATATGTTTGTATATATATATACACATATATACACAAACATAAATATATACACACATACACATGTATATATATATATATATATATATGTGTGCATGTCTATGTATGTGGAGCAATCTATGTGCGCGGCGACGAGGCGGCGGCAGGGCAACGACGGCGGCAACATAGCCGCCAGACACCCACCCAGGCCCAGACGACGCGCGGCGACGAGAGGCGGCGACGGGGCGGCGGCGGCAACAGAGCCGCTACACCGCCACCCAGACCCAGACGACTGGCGGTGACGGGGCGGCAACGGGGCGGCGACGGCGGCAACATAGCCGCCAAATCGCCAAACAGACCCAGCCGACGGGCGGCGTCGAGGCGGCGACGGGGAGGCGACGACGACGACGTAGCCGCCGGACCGCCACCCAGGCTCAAATCCTTAGAAATGAAGTAAGACACCCTAAGTGTTTGCATTGGGGGAGACACACGTATACATATATACACACATGCATCTACATAAACTCAAACAGATACATTTACATGTGCACGCGTAGATATGTGTATGTATGTATCTATGTATATCTATGGTGTATATATGGGGTTCTGTGGGTGTTAGCCAGCGTGGACTCAAACAGCGTGTTTCCAGAATTCTACGTTCTGCAACATATGCGGTGCAATAGGTGTGTGTGTGTGTGTTATTGTCTAGGTGGTGCAAACCATGTTGCAATACATGGTGTTAAGTGTACGTGGTGCAATATATTCGGTGCGATGAGTGCATCCCATGTGTTCCAATAGATGTGGTACAACCTTTGTGGTGCAATCTATGCGGGGCAGTCTATACATGTATATATATGTGTATATATTAGAGTGTGCATTTTAGGTATGTAATCGATGCTGTGTGCTGTATGTGTGTATATATATATATACGCACATGTGTATATATATATATATATATATATATACATGTAATGGGGAGGGGCTCCCAGGGGCCACGAAGTGTATAGATTTGTCTTCCGGCCGTTCTGGACCCGTCGGGGGGCCAGAACGCGTCAAAGAAGGGGAAGGTGGGCGACGAGAGGGCGGGAGAGACGTCCAAGAGGGCGCAAAGATGGTCCAAGAGCGCTCCAAGAGGGCCCAAGACCGCACAGGAGCGTTTCGAAATTGATCCAACATTGCTTCAAGACGGTCAAAATGCCTTCAAAAGGATTCCCACGAAGCACTCAGGAGGCGACAGTATGTGTGTGTATTCGAGGGTTGGGAAGAGTTCGTGTTCTCGCTGTTTGGTGCTTCCGACGGTCCAAGAGCTAACGATGCCCCAGAAACCGGCTCAAGACGGCCCGAGATGCACCCAAAGAGGGCGCCACGACGGCGCAGGAGAGTCCCAAGACGGCCCACGAGTGCCCCAAGACGGCCCAAGAGGCGCCCAAGATCGCACAAGAGGGCCCCAAGACGCAAGAGGGGCCCAAGAGGGGGAACGCGAGCCGACAATTCGAGCCTTCCGCCCCAAGATGTCCCCAGGAGGCCCCAAGAGGCCTCCAAAAGAACCCAAGATATCCCCTTAGAGGCACCCCAGAGGCCCCACGAGGTCCCAAAGAAGCCCAAAAAGACCCAAAGAGCACCCCAAACGGCCCCCAAAAAGGCTTCCAAGGTTGCCTTCAAGAGGCCCCAGGAAGCCTCGTACGAATTCCAAACGAACTTCCAAGAGGCCTCTAACCCACAACACAAGCACGGTGGCGGGATGGGCCGAAGGCCACTATCGGGAACGTGAACCGAGAACCCGAGATCTTCGCCCCAGGAGACCCCAAGGAGGGCCCAATAGGCCCCCATACCCAAGAGGATTCCAATAGGTTTTTGAACAATTGTTGCGTTTCCGCCTGTTCCGCTTCCCGACGCTGCAAAACGCCCTAAGAGGCTCCGAGGATCGCCCCGAGACAGCCTAATAGGCTTCAAAAGCGCCCCAAGATGGCCCAACAGGCTTGAAAAGAGCCGAAGAGACGTCCAAGACGGCCCGATAGGGCCCCAACCTCTGCCCAGCATCGGGAACTTGAGCCGAGTACCCGAGATCTTCGCTTTAGGAGACTCCCAGGAGCCTTCAAGAGGTCCCCCCGAAGCCCCAAAGAGGCCCAACAGAGCCCCGAGAGAGGCCCCGAGGGCACTTGAAAAAAAATGGGATTCCAACATTCCTTGTTTTAAAATTCGCCTGACAGCTTCGCTACTCTGGTAACATAGGGAATATCATGTTTCTTCCTCCTCCTCCTGTTCCTCTTCCTCCGGTTCCTCCTCCTCCTCCTCCTCCTCCTCTGCGGCCTCCTCCACCCTCTCCAACTCCTCATCATCCTCCTCCTCCCCCAGGGGGCTCCTTCACCTCCCCTTCTCCTCCCTCTTCCTCCGGCTACGCTCAGCCGCCGTGAATAAAAGGGCCTCCGAAGTGCATGTTGGGCCTGTTTTAAGCCGTCGTGGGTGGACCGTAGGAAGTCTCGGAAGCCGCTTGGGCCGTCTTCGCGGTTCTTGGAAGCCCCGGAGAAGAAGTGTCATGGAATAGAGATGCCCAAGAGTTCGACTATCCAGCCTAGTTAGAACTTGAGCGCGCGAGAAGCGCGCGATGGTTCTAGTGTGTATATAGACATATATATATATATGCATACATGTGTAGTGCAATCTATGTGGTGCAACTCACTTGCCGAATTTGAAGTTGTCAACTCCACTGCTCGCGCAATCATCCCACCCACCCACCCGCAACTTGGTTTGCAAAACCCATGCGAGACCGAGCACAGATATCGCTCCGGGGTCGTCTTGGAGCCTTCGGGGGCGTCTCAAGAGCGCCCCAAGAAGGCCGGAGAAGCAAGACGGCCGACGACGACGACGACGACGACGACGACGACGGCGGCGACGACGACGACGCCGACGTCGACGACAAAGACGACGACGCCGACGCCGACGACGACGACGACGTCGCCAACGAAGACGACGACGAGGGAGGAGGGAGGACGACGACGGCGACAACGACGACAACGACGACAACGACGACAACGAGGGAGGAGGGAGGAAGGCGACGACGCGAACGACGAAGAAGGAGGAAGGACGGCGACGCCGACGATAACAATGACGAGGGAGGAGGGAAGACGACGACGAGACGACGACGACGACAACGACGACGACGACGGCGACGAAATAGGAGGGACGACGACGAGACGCCGACGACGGACGACGACGACGACGAGGGAGGAGGAGGAAGGACGACCACGGCGACAACGACGACGGAAACGACCACGACGCCAAACAGGACGACGACGAGGGAGGAGGGAGGACGGCGACGACGACGACGACGACGACGACGACGACGACGACGGCGACGCCGCAAGAGAGCGCGCGCACGCTTTTGTTGAAAATCCGTGTTGCGAAACCTTGTGTTTTTATAGGTTTTTTGGACGCGCGATTATGAAATCTTCCCGAAACCGATGGGTTTTGAAGGATTTCGGCGTACGCGCGCGACGACGCGCGCGTCTGCACTTCGTCCCGTTTTTTTGCAGTTGATTCTCGCGACGGCACACGCGCAAGGGCGTTCGACAGATTTCGACATGCGCGCGCGCTACGCCCGTTTGGTAGCATGTAGTGAAATTTTTGAAAAAAAACAATGGTGTTTTTTAAGATTTCGCAAGAGCTCGCGCGTAAGTTTTGTTAGAAACTCAGTGCTAAGAAACCCTGTGTTTTTGTATGTTTTTTGGAAACTCGATTGCGAAGTCCCTCCGGCGCCGAAGGTTTTTGAAGGATTTCGGCATGCGCGCGCGACGACGCGCGCGTGTGCACTTCGTCACATTTGTTGCAAGGGATTCGTGAACAAGTGTTATGTTAGAACAAAAAATGTCACCGCATAGTGTTACAAGGGAACCTCAGGGGGGGATACCGGTTGGCCTCGGACATTGTGATTTCATACTTAGGATGGACATGTGGTCAGAATCATGTGTGATTTACATACCCGAAAAGGGGGAGCGATAACGCCGGGGGGGGGTAGAGTGCATTCTGTTTTTTAGAAAGGAGAATCTATGTTGGCGGCGGCGGGTCGCGACAACGCGGCGACGGCGGCAGCATAGCTGCCAGACCGCCACCCAGGCATAGACGACGGGCGGCGACGAGGCGGCGACGGCACGGCGACGGCGGCAGCATAGCCGCCAGACCGCCACCCAGGCCCAGACGACTGGTGCCGACGAGGCGGCGACTGGGCGGAACCTGCGGCAACATAGCCGCCAGACCGCCAACCAGGTCCAGACGACGGGCGGCGACGAGGCGGCGACGGGGCGGCGACGGCGGCAACGTAGACGCCAAACTGCCGCCCAGGCCCAGTTCCTTAGAAGAGGCGTAAGGACCCCAAAAGGCCAGCACCCTTTGGGGGAAGTGCAGGAAGCGGAGAGGGAGAGAGAGAGAGAGAGAGAGATGGACATATAGAAGCAGACGAATGGGGCAGAGGACGGCGGAGGGAGTGCGATGCGAAGAGAGGAGCGGCGGGAGGATGGTTTGGGAGAGGCAGGAGGGCGGAGATGGGAATATTACAAAGCATGAGAGGCGGAGGGACAGACGGACGATGCGAATGACGGAGCGAGAACGGAAACGGAAGCAGGATACATAAAGTTGCGAGAGGGAGATATAGAGAGAGGAAGAGAGAGAGAGAGGGGGACATAAAGAGATATATATATGTATATATATATATATATAGAGAGAGAGAGAGCGGGCAGAGAAAAGACGGGAGGAAGGATTGAAGGGGCGACGGTGATGGCAGAGATGGTAGTTGGGATGAGCGAGGGCGAGATACGGAGAGTAACAGGGAAAGAGAAAGAGAGAGAGAGAGAGAAAGAGAGACACAGAGACAATGCCACATACATATATATATATATATATATATATATTCCTCGAGTATATAATACACAATGTATCTTTATATAGAAAGAGGGAGGGACAAAGAGAGAAAGTCAAACAGACAGAGGGATAGACGAACGAGTCAGGCTCCTTTCTTCGCGTCGGTGATGCTGTGCGCGTTTCTGATCCACAAGGTGGTTGCGGCACTCGCGTCGCTGTCGGGCTTCTGCATGAGACCTCTTCTTTGTGCCGCCCTGATCGCTCGTCCTCCTTTCCCCAGCTGGCGGCAGCCGTAAAGAACTAAGATTTGGAGATTGTGATGGCGATGGCGGCGGTGCCCGCCAATTGCGAGCCAGCGTTCGCGAGCCACGGATCGAGCAGCCGCGACCCACTAGCCCTCCCAGCCACATTTCAGTTGTCAAATCGCCGTTCCGAGTCTGGAAAATCAGCGTTTGCACAGAGAGCTCTGCGCTGCCCCATGCTCCGAATCTCCTCTCCAGGCTCATCATAGCTGCGAGCACGGTTGAGGTCAGATGAGGTTGAACATGTCGGCTTATGCTCAATTCATTGATCGCGACGACTCCTTCCCCGAGAGTGCGCCCGGGGACCTGATGTTGGAAGCCGAGAACAGCTCTCGTTTGCTGCTTCCCCCGCGATGATAATCAAACCATGTGGGGCTTGCTGCAGAAACTTTCGGCGGGCCTGAACTGACCTGCCAGCACGTGCTCCATACATATATATATATATATATATGTATGTGTGTATATATATATATGTGTATAGATGTGTTTCCCCGGCGTCGCCAGGCTCCGTTTGGACTTATGGGGGGCATCATGCCATGACCGAACGATGCGCCCCTAGATTTGGTTCAGCAAGATGTCTCCACGCACGTACTGTAGGGGCTCGCTCGGACCCCTCTGGGAGCATTTCCCGGCCCTCTCGCGGCCACGCTGGAGGCCAACGACCACGACGGGAAGTGCCCTGCCCTGGAGCCCGAATGGCTGCTTTTCGGGGCCCTCTCGAGGCTCTCTTTGGGCGGGGTGCCTTTGGCGCACCCCGTTCGGACCCCTCTGGGCCTCTCTGGGCCTCGTGGGGCCACCTTGCCCCCGCGGCCCTCGACCGCCCTCCGGGCCACGCGATCCTCTTCCTGCCGGCACTGGGCGGTCAGAGCCTCCGAGGGGAGGGTGCCCAGTGGACCTATCTTCCAGGGAGGGCCGTAACCTCGCCCGGGGCCCCCCCGAACCTCGGGAAGAGAGAGGTGCGCGCGTGCAGTGGCTCAAGGACCGGGTATGGGGAGAGAAGCAGCTTCCCCCCGCCGTGCAGGAGGGGGGTACAGTGGACACCCATGCCAAGACACACCCTGTTTGCCTCCAGGGTACCCTGAGTTTCTTGGGTTTCGGTGGTTTCGCTGCGGAAGGCGTGACGTTCCCACACCAAAAAATCAATGGACGTCCTGGGGTCTCAGGGTTGGGTTTCTTGTGGAAGTCTTCATGTGGACTAGCCTCCACAATACAGCCTAGGCGCGCTGAGAAGGCACCGCTCGGATTCCGAAGGGGGTCTCGCTATGCCGCAGGGCCCTTCCACTGTCGCTCCTCGGGCGCACCGCGTGCACCCCCAGGCGGGTTTGGTGCCCAAAGAGGGGGTTCGCTCCTCATTTCGCGTTCCTTGCGGTGCTAGCACTATGATTGCATCGTGCGACAAGTTAGAGGAAGGGGGGGGAGGGGCGCCGCCGCCGAAGCCACCGCCGCCGCCGCCGTCGTCGTCGTCGCCGTCGTCGTCGTCGTCTTCGGCGTCGTCGTCGTCCTTCCTTTGGGGGCTCTCCTTGGCCTTTTGGGAGGGGCTGTCGGACGGGGCTTGGACGAGGAGAAGTCCGCAGAGCGTTCCGTGACGCTCTGAGAAGGCCGCGGCGCCCGAGAGATCCTCCAGGGCCGCCGGATCTCAGATACTCTCGATTCGTTGGAGGCCGCGCGCTGGAGGGGCGATGGATGGGGGGGGGCAGCGAGGGCTGCCGAAAAGGGGCCCTTTCTTCGGGCCCCTGGAGGGTTCCCTTGAGGGCCCCCACGGGGGCCTCTCGGGCCCGAGAATGGCACCTCTCTCTCTACCCCCACCTATCGCCCCGCCGTTACTTCGCGCCCAATCTGTTCAGGAGGGAAAAACACAGGCGCAGGCAAATATGGGAAAGCATGGGAAGTGCGGGGGGAGACAACAACCCAGAACATGTGGGAAACCATGGGGAATCCTGTCACTGGTGCCTAATCATTTGAGTGTCCCAGGGCGGAGGGAGGAGGGAGGAGGGAGGAGGAGGAGGAGGAGGAGGAGGAGGAGGCTGGAGGCCCTTCATTTGTGTGCTGTCCTCGTCCTGGCCTCGTCTTGTATGCTGGAGGCCCTGCCGCCCGGGAGGGGCACCGGGCGCCGCGCTCCTCGGAGGGCCCCCTCCCCCCGGGCGGGGTGCGGAGGCGGGGCGCTCTGCAGCTCGCGGCCTCGGCCGGGGAGCCTGTGCATCATTGGTGGGCCTGTTTTCCACCACCACCACCACCACCACCGTGAGTTGGAGGGGAGGGGGTCCTCCTCCGCCTCCTCCTCCTCCTCCTCCTCCTCCTCCTCGAGACGGGGGTCAATGCAAACGGGGGTCAGCCAGAGCGCCCCGATCTTGCAGAATCCTGCAGGGCCAGGGACGCACTGGCCCCAGTTTGGGCGCAGGATCCTGCGGGATCTTGCAGGAGCCTTGGCATTGACCCGAATTTGGGTGCAGGATCTTGCAGGGTCTTGCAGGATTCTGCAAGGCCTGGCTGACCCGAGTCTTGGATTGACCCGGGTCAGAAGATCCCCAAGCCTGGTTGGCCGCGCGCGAGCGGGATCGGCGGCGGGATCGTCGTCGTTGCAGTCCGTCGGTCGTCTGTCGTCGTCCGTCCCCTGTCGGCCTTCGTCGTCGTCGTCGACGTCGTCTTCCGTGGCCCGTCGTCGTCGTCGTCGTCGTCGTCGTCGTCGTCGTCGCCATTCGGCGGCGAGCGAGGGGGGGGGGAGTGGGAAGGAGAAGGCCTTCTCAGGAGGCGGCAGGGCTTCTCGGAAGCCTTGGCGCCTTCTTGGACGTTTTCTGCGTCTTCGGGGGAGGCTTAGAAGACTTCTCAGAAGGTCCGAGGACTTTCGAGCCTTCTGAGAAGGCCCGCCCATTCTCTCTTCCCCAGGCTTGGGAGGCCTCGGGAGTCTGAGCTCGCCTCCGCGGAGCGCGGAGCGCGAAGTTGAGCGACCTGGGCACGGTGGTCGCCATGAAGCCCACGAGTCCCGAGGAAATCGGGGCATGTGTGCTGTGCACATCTTGTACTTATAGCCACCCTGGGCCCCCCGCGGGCCCCAGCATTGTTTGAAAAACAGCTGAGGACAAGAAAAATAGGTCCTGGTGATCGTTTTCTTATGCATTGTTTTGCCGATCGGCTCGGGCCCTCGCCCTCCTCCCCTCCCCCCCCATGGAGCAGATCCTGGTTGTGTTCGGCGCCCGTTTCGAGCAGGTGGAGTCTCCCCACAGGAGGACGCACTGTCACAAACCGTCGCACACTGAGCAGAGGTCCTCAGCCAGACCCCCCCTCCCCTTCCTCCTTCCGCCCCATGCCGAAACGCCGAATTCAAGAAAAGACGTTCCCCCGTGGGCTGTCCCCGGGGTCACGGGCCCGCTTCCCTCGTCAGGATCCGCGCGAGTCATGCCAAGCAGGCTCGTGCCGTGCCCACGCGGCGGCGACCCGGCGTGGGCGCTCGAGGTCTAGAGCGCCTGCCAGCGGCCCGCAAGCGGCCGAGGCCGCGGGCGATCCTGCGCGACGGGAGCCTCGCGAGAGCGCACCGGGCGGCGCGGCCCGTGCAGCGCCGTGGTGGGCCCCGAGCCCACCGCCAGCACGAGCACAGCAGTCCGAGCGACTCGCGATGGCCGCCGGCCGCCGGGAGCACCGAGCGGTGGTCATGCGACGCGGGTCCGCCCGCACAGCGCAGATCTGAGGCCGCGGCCTCCTCCGCGCCATGGCCTCACGGGCACGGGCGGGCTCCCTCAGGGAGCTCGCACGACTCCCGCGCTCGCCTCGCTTGCTGCCGCCCGGCCTAACCTCCCCCCGCCTCAGGTGGCGGTGCTGATCAGCTCCCTGCCTCTCCAGCGTGCACCACCGCTCGGGCGGCTCGGTGCGCCGGGGCCGCTGGGCAGGGCCTCCCTCGCGCGCGGCCCCCTCCCCTCGCCTTACTTTGCCTCCTCGGGGGACGCTTCCTGTCCGGTGGATGGCAGTGCTTCCCCGTGCACCGACCTAGGATCGACGCGGGTTCGACGCGGATCCGGCGTGGAGTCGACACGGAGTTGACTTGGATGTGACATAGATGGCTGGCGCGACGGGGCAGAGACCCTTTCAGGATGCATCATCATCCCCCCCTCACACCGTGAGGCGGGTCTGGCGTGCGTCCCTTGACCTGCTCGCTCCCTGGCAACGTGTGGGCGCCCTCCGCCTGTGGGTCCCTCGCCGACCAGCGATTCAGGCAGCTCGACGGGCGGCGAGGGCAGGTTTCGGCATTCGTCGGGCGCGCGGCGCGATCCGAATCCCATCCCCGCCTCCCATCGACTCAGGGGGACCGATGCTTCTGTGGGGGTGGGGTCCGGGTGTCGCCGCCCGAGGGGGGCAGGGGAGGAGCAGGCAGAGGAGGGCGGAGGAGACTGGCGCTCGGGCGTTGCGAAAGGGGGGGGGGGGCGATGCATGGGCTCCTCCTCCTCCTCCTCCTCCTCCTCCTCCTCCTCCTCCTCCTCCCTCCTCCTCCTCCTCCTCCTCCTGGGGGGTGCAGAAAGGTGCACCTTGTGCTCGAGAGGGAGACCCTAGAAGCGCCCCCCTGCAGGGCCCACACGGGGCACTGAAACGTGCACGTCTCCCCCCAAAGGGAGGGACAAAGAGACACAGACACACCCACACCCACACACACACAAGTCAGCCTCGAGTTCCCAAGGGAGACGCAGGACCTGGAGGGGCAGGCGAACCTTCAGAGAGCAGTGCAACATGTGGTGAATCCTGGACTCTGCGTGCATTCTCTCTGTCTCCCCGTGTCTCTGTTTGGTGGTTCCCCCCTCCTCCCTTCGCGCGGCCGCCCTCGTCTTCGTCCCTTCCTCGTGCACGCGGGACTGTTCGCCTGTCGGTTGCCGCGACTATAGCCCCACGATGGTGCGGACTGCCTCTGCCTCGCCGCCGACGGAAAAAATGTCCCTAACTTTGGTGACGGGTCCCCCCCCATTCGCCCGAGACGCGCGGCCAGGGAACCTCCAGACCATTGCAACATGTGGTGAATCCTGGGCTCCGCGTGCACTTCTCTGTGTCTCCCTGTGCCGCGTTGCTGCCCGCCCCCCCCCCCCCCCCCCACCCACTGAGGAGTAGGAGGAGGAGGAGGGGAGGAAGGAGGAGGAGGAGAGGAGGAGGAGGAGGAGGAGGAGACGCGCGGCCAGGGACCGCCCCGCCCACCCGCCCGCTTCCGGGACCCGGGGGGGCGGCTGCCCAGGGCTGGAACGCGCGGCGGCCCTCGCGCGCTGCCGGGGGCCCAAGAGGGGGGGTGTGTCTGCAGAGGGCGCGGCGTTTGGCGGCCCTCCCCGGTGCCCGAGCACCTCGCTTTTGCAGGAGCGAAAGAAGGACGTACACGCACATGAATCCACGTTGGTTTCGAGAGTCTGCATCGCGCGAAGGTTCGTATCACGCGGACGGTCTCGCGGATCGAGGGGACGTGTTCATGTACATGGTTGGGCGCGTACGTCTTTTGTGAGCTCCCTACTTTTGCTGCGTGAGGCGTTCCAGAAGGGGCCTTGCCTTCGACGACAGAAGGAGCTGTCAGTTCTCCCTCGGCGGAAGGCCGGCGGAAGCAAAACGAGGCCGCCTCCGCCGGCCGAAGGCCAGGTGCGCCCCCGAGAGATGAAAACGGTTTTGGGGCTCAGGGTTTCCGGAATCCGCCATGTGGTCGAGCTCTGAGCCCTGAGGCCACTTAGCTGGCCCATGCTGGGTTGAATCTAGTTGCTCCAGGCCTGCGTCCTTTCTGCCCAAGGGCGCTGCCTGAGACCTGAAACCCGAAGAAGACGAAGGGAGCCGTTGAGGCCCTCGTGGGGCTTCCCGGAGGCTTCCTGGGAGCCTCGCGGGGGCCTCCGATGGGCACCCACTTTGGCAAGCCACAGGGGGCGGCGGATGTGCCGGCCCTCGGCCCATCCCGCCACCACGCTGGGGTGTTAGGTCAGAGGCCTCTCTGGGCCCCAATTGGCCCGTCTTGTCTTGGGGCGCCCGTGGCTCAGAAAAGATCCTGCGGGAAGCGCCGGCCGGGCTCCTGAGTGTTCAATCTTGGGGGCTGGACTACAAAGGACTTGAGGCCTTTCGAACTCGTGCCTCGCGGCACGGTGGCGGATCTGTCGTGCTCTGGGGGAGGAGGCAGAGCAGAGGAAAGCGGAAGGGAAGGAGCTGCCCCCACCAAGCCTTTTTTGGTCCAAGTTTGGTCCAGGTCTGAGTGGATATCAGCGCATTGCAAGGCAGGGAATGCATATCAGCCTTCAAGATTTGGCTTCAATCATCGTTTCTGGAAGATCTGTGGTACTGGATACTTAGTTATTGTGTTTCATCTCTCGTGCTCGCTCTCGCTCGCTCGCTGGGTCGGCAGGAGGAAGAGCCGTGCGAGTATGACCCAGGTCAGCGACTCTACACGGCGGACGTATGGTATATCGCCAGGCCCCTTGCAGAAAGGGTCTCGTGAATCGGTGAAGTGCTCCATCATTTATGCCCAGAGAAGGAGGTGAAATATTGGAATTCGGAGAAGTGTCAGTGAAAGAGGGAGGGGGAGGGGAGGGAAGGGCAGGGGGAGGATGTGGAGGAGGAGGCAGAGGATGAGGAACACCCATGGACTATGACTGTGATTTCTGTGTGACATTAGACCCTGCATATGCGGCGAGGCATGCACGGAACAGTTTGCTGGCATGTCCATATCTTCTCCGACAGCCTCGACCTGGGAGTGCCGAACAGCAGGGTGGGTAGGTGATCGTTTTTGTTATTCGTTGTTTTGCCGATCGGCGTGGGCCCTCGCACCCCCCCCTCCCCCCCCATGGAGCAGATCTTGGCTGTTTTGGGCGCCTGCCTGTTTGCGAGCAGGTGGGGCCCCTCCCCTCTATAGGACCCACTGCTGCAAACAGTGGCATTAAGGGTACGGGGAACGCCGATTGCCACGTTGGGCTATGCCCCTGGTTAGGGGGCCCTGGGCGCCATAGACGGGGGTACAGTAAACGGGGGTATACGGAACAGCCTAAGCTTCCGTTTAGCTAAACCCCCGTTTACAAAGCCCCGACCCCCCCCCCTTCCGCCCAATGTCGAAACAACGCCGAAAACAAAATTATCTTGGCGATGGACCCAACCATATGCAGTTACGAGTACCGCAAAGCAGGTTGAACGAATGAGAGGAAACTCCCTGAGGGGCCACGAAACGTGTGAGGGGTGTGCCGAAATGGGTGCGGTGCCGCCATGCGAACGCAGCCACTGGGGCCTTCGGTAGAGCTTCCTCAGGGGCCACGAAACGTGTGAGGGGTGTGCCGAAATGGGTGCGGTGCCGCCATGCGAACGCAGCCATTGGGGCCTTCGGTGGAGCTCCCCATGGGGCCAAGCGTGTGAGGGGTGTGCCGAAATGGGCGCGGTGCCGCCAAGCGGACGCAGCCACTGGGGCCCTCGGTGGAGCTCCCTATGGGGCCAAGATGCGTGTGAGGGGTGTCCCGAAATGGGCGCGGTGCCGCCATGCGAACGCAGCCATTGGAGCCCTCGGTGGAGCTCCCTATGGGGCCACCAAACGTGTGAGGGGTGTGCCGACATGGGCGCGGTGCCGCCATGCGAACGCAGCCACTGGGGCCCTCGGTGGAGCTCCCTATGGGGCCGCGAAACGTGTGAGGGGTGTGCCGAAATGTGTGCGGTGCCGCCATGCGAACGCAACCACTGCAGCCCTCGGTGGAGCTCCTTATGGGGCCACGAAGCGTGTGAGGGGTGTGCCGAAATGGGTGCGGTGCCGCCATGCGAACGCAGCCACGGGGGCCCTCGGTGGAGCTCCCTCTGGGGCCACGAAACGTGTGAGGGGTGTGCCGAAATGGGCGCGGTGCCGCCATGCGAACGCAGCCACGGGGGCCCTCGGTGGAG